ATCGCTTCGTTGCCCCAGCCACCGTTCACGTCCAGGCCAAACAGAAACTGCCGCAGCGCAAGCGGGTTCTGCTCCCACCCAGACACCTGCAACAGCTGGTCTGCATCCACGTTGTAGTTGCGGTATGCCGCCAGCTGCACTGCAACGTCGCTGTTGCCAAGCAAGCCGGCATCTGTGAGGATCTTCTCGATGCGCTCAAAGACCACGCCAATGACCTGTGCCGTCTTCTTGAGATTTGTGCCCATGGAGCACGTGCAATCGAGTGCGTAGAATGTGCGCGTGACCTTGGAGGCCACCTCGCGCGTGTAGTTCCACTTCTCAAGCTTCTTCACCACTTCAGCCTTGCGCTCGTCACTCAGTTCCTCAAGGAACGCCATCGATTCCTCGTGCTCCTTCTTCACAGCCCGCGCAATCTCGTACGACTGCTTGAACTTCTTCGCAAACGCCTCATCCCGCCTCTTGTGAAGATACTTGCGCAGCTCGTGACTGCTCTCCTGCTTGTCGAGCGCTTCAAAGTCCACATCAAACTTCTCTAGCTGCTCACGGCACAGCACCATCGAGTAGCTGCCTGGCTCACCCTGCCGAGCCGTGCGGCCCATGCACTGCCGCTCCTCAGCCATCGTCTCTGCCAAGAACGTTTGCAGCACGTGCACGCCGCCCTTGTCTGGGATGGCCGGGTCACGCACCTGGAAGTCCACGCCGCGCCCAAACGAGCGGGTGCAAAGGGTGATGCGCTTCTGCTGCGTTGCCTTGCGCACAATCGTCTCCTTCTCTGAAGCGGAGAGCGTCTCGCTCAGAATCTGCACGTTCTGCATGAGGGCGCCAAGGGAGTCGTGCCGGTAGTACTCTTGCAAGTCTCTCTCCGTCTCAAACAGAACAATCACCGGACGGCCCTGTCCATGGCGCTTGCGAATCTCCTGGGTGGTGGTCAGATGGTACTGGTCAGCGGGCACAATCTTCAGGTCGTTTGCCTCAAACGGCTTGAGCTGCGACGCGCCAAACATGGACGGCATCACCGTGCATGTCTGAATGCCGTAGTCTTCCTTCAAAACCTTGAACTCGGGAGCAGACAGGTCCTTGAGCGTGCCCGTCACACCGAGTGTGCAGGCGAACGTGCGCTGCACCTCAAAGTACGAGAAGGCGCCACAGTTGATGAGGAAGGTGAGTTCCGTGTTGACGTCCTTTGATCGGTGGACATCTGTTCCGGCCTTCTCAAGCTCGTGCATGAGCGCAAACAAGGTCTTGTAGCGCATGCGCATCTTGTAGTTGATGGTGTCGTGCAGCTTGTAACCGATGCGGCCGCCCTCAAACACGTACCCGTGGTTCTCATACGATTGCAGGTCAATAATCATGGCGTTCACGCAGCTTCGGAGGAGACCGTGATAGGGGGCTTGCAGTGAGGACAGCACAGACTGGTATTGCTCGGAGGTGGACACCCTGGCAAACGTAAGCCTGCTTGCGCGGTTGTCCCACAAGAACATCACCAACTTCCTGATTGCTTGGTTGGTCACTTTGCAGTTGGGCGCGTACGTGTTGCTCATGATGCTTGGGTCGAGTGCCACGTCCACCTCGTCAATCAACAGCACGCGAGGCCGTGGGACCTTGGATGAGCTGGTGCCTCCAGGGAAGTAGCTTGCTGCCTTGTCCTTCCAGGCAGCTGCTTTGTCCTTGGCACGCTTCACTAGACCAGGCTTCCAGAACTCGTCTTCTTGAATCAGGTGCTGCACGCGCTCGCGGATGTCACCCTCCTTGTTGATGTGCGACTCGCACAGGGCGTTGAACGTGCCGTACTCGATACAATCAGCCACGCCAAGCTTGTCAAACAAGAATGAGAAGTCCTTGTGGTCACGAACGCTGAGGTACTCGGAGTAGCAGGCGACGCTGGCGTGCATGCCGTACAGCGCAAGCACAGATGCTGTGACAGCCAAGATGACGGCTTTGCCTTGTCCTGTCAGGACCTGCACAAGGTTGGAGTGCAGCTCGTCTTTCGCAGTGCCAACGCCAAGCAGGCGGAAGATGGCCAGGGCTTGGGAAGGGTGTGGCTGCAGGAGCTCCTCGCGTGCCTGGTTTGAGTTGCTGGCATGGTGCAGCGTCCACATGCCAAAGATGTTGGCGACAAGTCGTGGCAGCGCATCCTTCATGTCAACGGTCCAATCGAGCTGATCCTTGTGCAAATCAGGCTCGTCCATCACCTTGGCTGCGCAAGTCTTGGCACGAGCAGCAAGGGCGTCCACCGCCTTTTGCCCATCCTTGATCATTTTCAGGTTGTCGTGGTACAGCTTCAAGAATTCATCATACATGGTCTTGAGATCCGTTTTGTGGCTGTCACTCATGTGATTGATGCCATCCTTCAACAGCGTCTTCAGCGCGTCGTCGATGCCCACAGAGCTGATCTTGTTGTTGAAGAGGCGACGCAGATACCCAGTGAACACGTCATATCCTTGCAGCACACGCTGTGCTTCGGGCGACTTGAGTTGCTCAAGGCACAGCCCAAGTTTGGGGATGCTTGTCTCGCTCTTCCTGTTGTACACCTCCAGGAAATCGCTCACTTGCCGAGTGATGCTATCACGAACACACTCCACGCCGTCAGCCATCTTCTGAAGCTCAACCAAAGCGCGCGCAATGGCGTCGTTGCTTCTTGCGCGCTTCAACTCGCCGACCAGCTTGTTCGCATCTTCCATGAGATGGGTTTGAAGGTCCATCATCGCTGGTGTTTGAAAAGCCTGGCGCGCTCCATTCGATCGCTCCGGAAGGGTTCGTTTCGACCCTCGGCCTCGTCCTTTGCCTCGCTTGCCCTTCGACGGAGAGCTTGGCTTGGATCCGACTGACTTTGCCAGAGACGGCGGTGGCTTGGCATTTCTGAGCGCAGCAATGTTGTTCAGGTGGTCCATGAGGCTATTCAGCTCGTCGTACTTGCGGGACGCTTGCGCACTCTTGAGCCTCATGCTGATCTGTTGCTCCTGTGTGTCCACAAAATCTGCAAAGTTGACCCGTCTCAGCTGGGCAGTGCCACCGTTATTGGCGTAGGAGACGAGGTCATGGGTCAGGTCAAGCAAGCGCTGGGTGCAGTACAGCCGCGAGTAGGCCTTGTGCCTCTCCTCTGAGTTGACGTTGAAACGAGCGTCGAGCACGTCGATGGATTGGCTCGTTTCGCACCACTGGCTCGTCAGCTCGTCCACATCCTTGAGCGCCTTGTCCAGGTTGTCCTTGCATTTGATGCAGGCATCTACCACATCTGGTCCAGGGTTGAGTTCCCGCGCGATCAACGGCTTCGCCAGTTCTGTCCCGAGAGCAGCGAGGAGACGACACTGGTACACCAGCGAGTCTGTGTTGCCGACAGCAAACTGTTTCCAGTCGACTTTGGAAGCTTCGAGCTCCTTCATTGCAGACTTCAAGTTGTTCACGTCCTCCATAAGCTTCGCGGCTGCGTCGGAACAGGAATGGGCGCGTTGGAAGAGGTCATCCAGGATGGAGCCGGCCTCGTCAAAGCTGAGAGAGCGACTGAGCGCAGCACCACCTGCCGCTGGAGTCGCCGGCTTGATGGCAACATTGCCTGCCGTCTCCAAATAGAGCGCGTAGATAAAGCTGCTCACGAACGCCCCAACTGCATCGTGTGTGACGGCTCCTGTCTCGGTGAGTTGTGGGGCGGCCAACATATCAGCAATAATGTGGACCTCATTGCTGAGCTTGGTCCTTGTTTGCTGCACGATCCCCTTCAGCTTTGCTGCGGCAGCTGGCACGCCAACCTCCTTGCACTTGGCGAGACGCCTCACGGCCTGCAACACTTGGCGTCCGTGTTTTCGGTCGAGAGCGCATAAGGCCTCATCAGCGATGGCTTCGACCTTTGCGGTGAGTTGCGCATAGATCTTGGTTGACAATTCGCCGCCTGTTCGCTTGCGAGCCGCCTCCACGTCTGCCCTGACAGCATCCCAGTCATCCTGTTCCAAACGCTCCTCAAGCTGATTTGCGCGCGTTGCGATGCGCTGGCGAAGCGTCGCCAAAATTTCATCGGCGACCACGTCCACTTGCTGCTGGATGTCGTCAGGGCAGAGGGCCTTGAAGTGGTCCAAGTGTTGAGTCACTGTCTCCTGGTTTACGTTTGTCACGTCTTCCGCTGTCAATCGTGCACGAAAATCTGACAGCAGCTTCCTCATGTGCTCGTTCACCGCTGACTTGATGTGTGCGCTCTCCTGCTCAAGGTGCGTCAGAATCTGTGGTGGGTTGCGGGTGGTTTCCTCCAATGTCAAGCCCTCAAAGGCAGCAACAGCCTCCTCGGGGCCCTTGAGAATGCTTGCTTTGAGGTCGCTGATGCGCGCCTGTACATCGTCCAGACCCTCAAGTTCTTGGGCAACAGCTCCAAGGCACGCCTGTAGGAGATTGAGTTGTTCCTTGGCAAGTGCAAAGCAACACCGCTGCATGTTATCCTCTGCATACATGCACTCGCTGAGGAAGAACTCGTGCATCGATTGCTGCATGTTGATGAGCTTGACCTCCCACTCCTTGGCCTGCTCGTCGCTGACGAGCTTCAAGTCTGCAGCGTGCAGGGCGTTGGTGGACTTGACATCACGCAATGCTCGTCCGAGATCTTCAAACCGAGCGAGCAGCTCATCACCCGTCATGAAGTAAGTTGTAATCTGACGAGCAAGATTCCAGCTTTCGGAGTACACGGCATCAACCGCAGTGAGAATTGACTGGTCCAATGTGGGCCGCGGTGTCGTTCCTGTGTGGCGAAGGCGCCTCAGCAGAGTGGCAGCCTGCCCGAAGTCACGGCGGTCAATGGCTTCAGTCAACTGCCGCTGAGTGTCTTCATCGTAGTCGCTCGTTGCCTTGACAAATCGCTCGTACAGGTTGTTGTACGTGCCGCCTGGTGGGAGATCGAGGACGCCGTCAAGTTGACGCAAAACGCCTGCAGCCAGCACGTGACGGTGTAATTCCGGCAGCAAGCCTCTGTGTTTGAGGTGCTCGCACTCGGTTTCTCGATGTTGTGCATCCTGACGCAAGAGGATGAGCTCTCGTGGCGTGGTCTGGAACGCCAGCTCATGCAGTTCCGGAAAGTCTTTCTCCATGCGCTGCAGGTCCTCTAGTCGGATCTGGAGCGTGAGGCAAGCAGTCCTCAGGCGTTTGGTGGCGGCCGCCAGATCGGAAGCCGCTTCGTCCACGAACGTTTGGAGCACGTCGGTGCTGATGTGGGAGAGGCATTTACTGATGTAGACGCCATAGCTGATCATGGAGACCTCCAGCAGGTTCTTCAAATCGTTGATGCTGGCAATGTAGTGGTTGAGAATGCACTCCTTTGTCGCCTTGTGGAGGAAGTAGTGAATGCGGCGCACACGTCGCAGGTCGAGCTGGAAGTCAAGGCGCGTGTCGCCATCGCTCGCGTCAGCGTTGGTGGTGGCAGGGGCTTTTGGGATTTCAGAGAAAAACCGTTCCGTGTCTTCGATGATATGCTGAACACCTGCGTTTACATGATCAATGGCCTTGGTGTAGCCCTCATCGACACCTTCGAGGACGCTGCCCAATGCACGCAAACCGGAGAGCTGGTCGATTGCATCCGCCACATCAGGAACAATGTCGGGGTTGTCGAGCTGGATGGGCATGCGGGTGGCGACCGCAACGAATTGGTAGGCCTCATCTCGCACGTTGCGGATCAGCGTATCGATGGTCGTGTCGATCATGTTTGGCTGCAGCTGGTTAGCAAACGTGGCCGCTTTGAGGGCTTGCAACAAGCCCGGCAAAAATGCCCTGTCTCGGTAAGCGGCGTTGTCTTTGTTGAAGAGCTTGTGCCCAACAATGTCGCGCACGAGCTGTTGGGCAGTGCCAACGACCTGGACAACCTCTGCACGCGCTGCGGCCTCGTGGCGGGCGTACTTTCGCGCCAAGTCTACGGAGGGCAAGTCGCGGAATCGGATGAGGTGGATCACAAGCGGCTCTGCCTGCTGAAGAGCGTCGGTCAGGTCCTGCTGGCACACGCGCTTGATCTCATCGATGATGTGGGTGAGGTGCTCGTCGCACACGAACACAAGCTGGTCGAGTAGCGACTCCAGCTGCTGAGCGCCGATGACGGCTGCAAGCCGAGGCGTCTTCTGCACATCGGTGATGAGGGCCAGCGCTGTTGCCAACGCGTCCACAGCGGGCTGTCCTTTCAGGCCCAAGTTGTTTGGGGTGAGTTCGGAGAGGGCGTGACGAGCTTGCTGAAATGGGTGACGGATCAGAGCCAACAATGACTTGGTGAACGCCTCCCGCCAGGGAGCAATGCGCTGCGACGCTGACTGGGCGGTCCCTGCTTCGACTTCGACTTGGCCGGTGAACTCGCCCACCTGCTGAGGGAGGCTGCTGGCGCTGGTCTTCTGGCTGCTGGCAGTGCTCGTCGTCGTCGTTGTTGTTGTTGTTGTTGTTGTTGTTGTTGACGATGTGCTGCCGCTGCTGCCGGCGCCACTGGAGCCCACGCTGGCGCCTGTCAGCTGGGCCGTGCGGGTGGCGTCGAGGTGGGCGGCAAAGGCGTCTGCAGCCTGCAGCGTGGCTGTGCCTAGATCGCCTGCCTCGTGCAGCTGTCGCTGTTCGAGCGCCTCAACAGCACGCCGCTGCATCGAAAGCACTTCGTCTGCGAGGCCCTGCGCAGCGCTCTCGTACCGCTCGGCAGGGATGCTGCTGATGGCGCTGACGAGGGTGCGCAGCTTGTTGGCCTGGTTGACGCGCGCGTGGGCGGAGAGCTCAGCGCGGCCCACGTCCCGCTGCAGTGTGTTGACCAGGTCGCCAAGGGCGGAGGCCGTCACCTCTGCAGAGACGGCGGAGAGGTCGAGGTTTGGCAGCTCGTGTTGGAAGAAGCGGGTGGCGTTGCCGATGGCGGTGAGGGTGTCCAGCACATCCACGGCAATGAAGCCGGTGGAAGCATCCTTGAACTCGTTGATGCGCTCCACCACAGCGTTGAACTCACGCGTAAGGTGCTGCACAATCGCCTGCTGAGCGTCCCGCATGCCTCGCGTCACCTCCTCGGACGGCACCACCTCCTGCAGGTCCTGCAGTTCCTTGACGCGCTGAACGGCGAGGTCGTACTCGCCACGTTCCATGGCAAACTGGATGGCATCGAGGTTGAGGCGAGCCTGGTCAGCCATTGCAGTCTCAGACGTGGAGAGGAGGGATGGCTGGTCGGCCACGTTCCTAGCGTTGACAGGACCCTTCTCAAGCATGCCGTTCAGGTGATCAACTATGCGATCTGGGTCGAGTGGGAGGACAATTTCTTTTCCGCGCAAGCGCCTCAGCTTGTTGCTGACAGCCTTGACGATGATACGGTAAGGATCATCAGCAGGCAACTTCCGGACTTGCTCGTTGATGACTTTGAAGGCCTCTTCAATCGCAGCGTGCTCGTCGACGCTGTCATACTTGGTGAAGAGGAAAGACAGGCGACTTTTGATGCTGCTCATGTTCTTGAAGAGGTTTGATGCAACTTTCAAGCTGTCTCTGCTCTGCTCAAAGTTGTTTCCGTCGCGTTTTGAGAGCACAACGACGGGCCAGAAGCCCTTGCATGACTTGAGGGCGTGGTGGATGCCGATGGTGTTGGCGACGTCAACCTCTGGACCGCAGTTATCTCCAATGCCTGCAAAGTTCAGGTGCGGGCGACGGAACAGAGACCAAGCGGTGAGCAAAGATGTAAATCAAAGAGAGAGAGAGAGAGAGAGAGAGAGAGAGAGAGTGTGTGTGTGTGTGTGTGTGTGTGCGTGTGTGCGTGTGCGTGTGCGTATGTGCATATGTGGGAGTATATGCATGGGAGCGTGTGCGTGTGTGTGTGTTCGTGTGCGGTGTGAGTATGTGTGTGTGTGTGTGCGCACGTGTGCAAGCGACGACGGCTGGTGGAATATGGGTGTGTTGTGGTTCAAGGTTGAACGCCTCTGACCTGGGGTGTCGAGCATGAAGATGTCCATTGTGTCGTCGTCCAGGTCAACATCGAGTTCGTCCACAAACTCAGCTGGCAGGCGAAGGTCACGCACGTACGCTGTCTCTGACTCGGGGTTTGGGTTGACGTTGAAGCCCTCGGGGGCAGCGCCGGGGGCAGGGCCAATGTCGTGATAGACGTTGTCGCGCTGGATCATCTCGCAGCCGGAGAGGTAGAGCAGGGTGGTGGATTTGCCGGCGCCCGAGCGACCGAGGAAGACGATGACGTTTCTGCCTTTCATTGCCGCTGCGTACACGCGGCTCTGGCCGATGAGGTACCGTGTCTTGTGGATGTCAAACGGGCGGATGACGCTCAGCAAGCACTCGGTTTTGGCGCGAGCCTCCTCCCACTGGGCTGCGTTGATGTCGTCCTCGATGCGGTCAAAGCTGTCTAAGTCGCACGCAAGGTATTCTTCCTCCTCGGCGCGTTGTTTCGAATCCTGCAACAGCCGTAGCAGTTGCGTCTTTCTTGTGGGGCTACGGCCAGTCACGACAGAAACCAGCCCAACCTGGATGACAGTGCATGCGTTGTGTGTGCGTGGTGTGTTAGGGGGGGGGATTGCGAAACGTGAGGGGGAGAACGAAGGGCAACAACAGCAATGGCAAGAGTTGAGGGGCAAATCGAGCGTATTCACAGCGAACACACACACACACACACACACACACACACACACACACACACACTGGCGCAAAACGTCCGTGTTTGGAAATGCGTTTTGCTGTGTTGCGACATAGAACCAGCTGTCACACATCAAAATGGCAATCTTGGAACTCACCCAAAGCAGAAGGAGGTACTTCTCAGCGGAGGGGGGTGCTTGCTCGGCGCGTTGCTTGACGTGCTCGATGGGTTCCAGATTGTAACGCTTCTTGCCAGGAGTGGCTTTCGGAGCAGAAGCTTCTTCGTATTGCTGGCGGTCATCACGCGCGCCTTCGTCTTCCTCCTGCACTTGGGGGTGTCGGGCACGCTGCTGCTCAGGCTGCCGCCGCTCAGGCTGCTTGTCACCTGCTATGGTGTTGCGGAACTCTTCCTGGCGCTCGTGGGAGACGCGTTGGACCCGCTGGTACTCGGGAAACTCGGCAACGGCCCGTGCGGTGCGCGACCGCTGGCCTTCTCCGAAGCCACGGCGCGGCTCCTCCTCATTCACGCGATCGTGGTGGGCTTGGTAGTATGGTGGCGGCTGCTCATCCCGCTCGCCGAGGCCTCGGCCCGTTGGTGGCTGCTTCTCGGACATGGTCGGATGGAAGGAAGGTCGGACAGAAGGTCGAACGGAAGGGGCTGATGGTGTGTGCGTCGGTTCGTGTGATGAGATGTGGTGTTGCTTGTCGGCGTTCTTCTCAGGACAGACAGAGTGCGGCAAGATGCGACAAAGTGTGGTTGGATGGAGTGTGCGGGAAAATGAGCTGCGCTGTTTCTCGCACGCCAAACAAAACAACAACAAGCAGTATTGGCTGTGGGCGGCCGTGCGCCTGTGCGTGGGTGGTGGTGGGAAACAAGTCGACAACCCTCTGGAGAGAGAGAAATTGGGGGGGGGGGGACAACAAGCGAAGGCGAGAAGGCTTCGAAAACCAACAAGCACCGAGCTTGGCACTGTGGCGCTGTGGTGTTCTCGATGTGTGACACACGACAGAGACAAACAAGGACAAAACAAAACGACGCACAACAAGACACACGCACAACACGCACAAAGGCACAACAACAAAAGACACAAACAAAGGCAGAGCACTCAGTGACACTGGATGGGCGAAGGTTTTGCTGGGACACACTCAGTGAGCCTCAAGATGGCCACGAGCAATCAACAGCAGCAAGAACAGAGAGAGGGGTGTGGTGCGGCTGTGGCTGAGTCACATCCGTGGCAGTGAGTCATGTCAGTGAGTCATGCTTTTTGGATGCACTTCCACAACTGGGTGGGCAAAGTTGCATGCATGCAGGCAGGCACATCCGAAATGTGACTTTTGTGGTGTCGGAATTATTGAGTAAGACGACATCATAGAATGCAGTTTCAACGCCGCAAACAGACCAACCAACCAAAACACACCAACCAACCACCACCATGACGTCGTACAACGTGGTGCTGCGAGGGACGGAGCAGCTGCCGCCGTCGGCGCGGCGGGACCTGAGCAAGACAAACTTGGCCATTGCACGAGTGCTTGCGCGGAGCGAGCGAGAGGCCGTGGTGGTCCACCTGTTTTCACACGGCGTGCAATGCGTGCGGCCAACAACAACAACAACAACAACAGTAACAACAGCAACAGCAACAACAACAACAAAGGACAGCACGGAAGGCGGTGGTGTGGGCGGTGACCAGGGAACAAAGGGGCGCAAGGGCAAGAAGGGCAGCGCGAGCGCGAGCAGCACGCGGGACCGGCGGACGAGCGCGGAAAGCGGCGACGGTCACGGCGACGGTGACGACAGCGACAGCAGAAGCAACCGCAGCTCGACAGAGAAGGAGGAGGGTGGCCGTTGGCTCACGCCATGGCGAAGAAAGAAGGAGAAGAAGCGCAAGAGCAGCGGTGGTGGCAGTGAGGTTGTGGGCTCAGGGTTTGCCACGACGCTCAGTGGGGGGTTCCCGTCTGTCTTTGCCGATGTCAACATCTTCAACATTCTTTTGGCCGGCGCCAACGGTCGCTGTTTGTAAGTTTGTTTCGTGCCGTGTAGTTGTTGCACTATCGGTCTGCCGTCATCGTCATCGTCATGGTCATGTTCCGCTTGCTGCTCCAGTTCGCTTGTGTGTGTTGAGCGTGTTGTGTGTGTGTGCTTTGTATATATGTGTGTGTGTGTGTGTGTGTGTGTGTTGCTGCCGTGGTGGTGTTGTGATGGTTCAATGAGCATTGACGGGGTCTGTGCATGTGGTGGCCACTGCAGTGTGTTCCTTGCACGGGACTCACAACCTGGCGAGCGGGAGGAAGGCGATCACACCGTCTACGTGTTTGAGTGCACCGAGCCGCTGGTGCGTGCGTGACTGTGTGTGTGTGTGTGTTTGTGAGAGAGAGAGTGTGTGTGTGAATGAGTGAGTGAGTGAGTGAATAAGTGTGAGTGTGAGTGTGAGTGTGCGCCCCCTCCCCCTCTCTGTCTCTTTGTCTCTCTCTCTCTCTCTTTGTGTGCGTGTGCGTACGTCTTTGAAGCCTTTGTGCGTGTGAAGTGGCGATGCTTGCTTGCGGCGGCTGACTGTGTCTCTCACCCCCTTTACGATTTGTGCTTCTCATTTTGATTGGACATGACTGTGCTCACTTTGAAACACCGCACATTTCATTAGATTGCAACAGAGATGGCAGACAAGCTGAACAAGGTGGGCCCGTCACACGCATGCCATAAATCTTCGTGTCATTGTTGCTGCTGCTGTTGTAGCTGTTCTGCGTTTCCCGCGCTCGGAGGATTGCCAGACTGTGCACTTGTTTGCTCTTGCTGACCAAATGCCATCTTGCGTTTCGGGTGCCCTTTCTTTCTCTTCAGGAGTCCCGGCTCTTCATGCGGAAACTGAAAGGTGGTTTGCGCGCAGCGCAAGTGGGTGTGCGCGTGTGTGCGTGTGTGTGTGAGCGTGTGAGGGAGTGTGGGTTTGTGTTGTGTGTGCGCGCGTGTGTGTATGTGAGCGTGTGAGGGAGTGTGGGTTTGTGTTGTGCGCGCGCGTGTGTGTGGGTTTGTGTACACAGGAAGCCGTGCATTTCTCGCACACACGCTCTCGGTCTCACTCTTCGTCTCCTTCTTGGGCGCCCTCACCACCACCACCTCTTCATCACCATTTTATGCCGGCAGATGTCCGAAGCGACGCCGCTGCGCGCGACCTCCACGATGCGAGTGCTGAGGCGTACCGATCAGAGAAGCTCGCCTTTGAGCAGGAATCATCATACCTCAGCAAGGGTGCGTGCTGATGTGTATGTTCGTATGTATGTATGTGTGTGTGTATGTGTGTGTATGTGTTGTGGAAAGTGCTCACTTGTGCATGTCTCCTTTCTTTCTTGCACTCCACCTTCCTGTGCTTGTCGTTCATCTTCCTCTCATCTTCTTCGTGCAACCCTTCCTCGCTCGTGTTCTCCTCCTTTAGATCTCGACAGTTTGGTGCTCGACGAATACGAGAAGGTCTGTACATGTCTGTGTGTGTGCATGCGTGTGTGTGTGTGTCTGTGTGCGCGCGCATGTGTCTGTCTCTGTGTGTGTCTGTGCGTGCGAGCGTGTGTGTGAGCTCTTGCGTGCGCCTCCGTTTCCATCTCTCTCTCTCTCTCTCTCTCTCTCTCTCTCTGTCGTGGCCACCGTCCAGTCTGCTTATTTTTCGTCCTCAAGCTAACACCGCCGCCACATCCCTGTGTGCCAATGTGTTGCGATGGTGCCATTGTTTGCTCGCTTGCTCGTTTCTCTCACCCCCCCCCACGCAACAATGTTTGCTTGCACATCGTCAGCTGTCATTCACGGGCTTTGTTGAAGAAGCGCCACAGACGCCAACGGGGGTACGCTCTTGCTGTTTCCCTTACTGTTGCTCTGTGTATGTGTGTGTGTGTGTGTGTGTGTGTGTGTGTGTGTGTGTGTGTGTGTGTGTGTGTGTGTGTGTGTGTGTGTGTGTGTGTGTGTGTCGTCGTCC